AAAATGGGGCATGCGGAGGCAATAGGCGATGGCAATCACTGCTGCCTGAAACAGCTGGTCATTGGGAGGCCGATCCAACTGACAATCAGCTGCTTGTGCTAATCGGACTGTGCTGAAGCTTAAACAGGCTGCAAGGAGGCAAATTGCTGGGAGGCAGAGGCAGATTTTCTTGTCTTGTTTTCCTCCCCAAAAGCTAGGTGTGTCTTATACTTCGGAGCATCTTATACTCCGAAAAATACGATACTTTCTTTCAAAAGGCAACTGAACTTTCTTGTTTTGCTTGAAAATGTTTTGCTTCTCATCCAAGAAGCTTCTTCAGTTCTCAAAGCTTCTTCAGTTCTGGTTTCATAACCAAAGAAATTTCTTGGATGAGATGCAAAACATCTTCAACCAAAACAAGGAAGCCCAGTTACCTTTTGAAAGGAAAGCACCTTTGGGACAACCATGACATGGATGATTGAGAATCTCCATAGACATTGCACTTTCAGAGATTGGGAACAAATTGTACCTCTAGAAAGGAGAAAAAGATGGAGGCTTTCATTATATACAGTATTTTTAAATACCCTAAAAATGGAAATTCTAATCTAGAAACAAACATATGATCAAACTATATTAGTCAAATGGTTGCCATTTTCAGGAAGCATATCTTTAAAATATTTAAAATAGTTAACGCTTTTAGGCTGCATGCTAAATGAACATAATTTTTTATGTTACCTTTAATTACTGTCAAGCTGAATGCAACTTACTTGCGTGAGATCGGGAATATCGCCTTTGTCAATTCCAACTTGCTGTGGATCAAGGAAAAAATGAAAATAAAATGGTTTCTGTCAGAATATATTCATTAACTGGAATAGAGCTTCGTAACAAAGTCAGCCACTGAGAGCTGAATTGGGGGCTGAAACTTAAAGAGAGAATCTGGGGGTGGTTTATCTCTGTTCTGTGCTCAGCTCTAAAGTGAAAGAGAAACTAGCCTGTCTTGCTTGCTTACTGGAAATGAGAGATCTGCTCTGAGCTACTGCTGCTTGTGTTTTTGCTTATGTTACCTTGAAAGAATCTACAAATGGTATTGTACTTATTTTATTATGTTAATAAAGAAGTTAATTATCCTGCTGAACCAGTCATCTGTGTATTTTCTGGACTTGAATTTATGCTGCAAACTCAGTTTCAAGTTTCACATTTGTGATCACAAACCAAAAAGCAATATAAATCATCAAGCAACAACAGGGGAGCTGAATTAAGTGTAACATAGCTTATTACTATCTGACAGAGAGAAACATCTAGAAGCTTTCAAGATTGAACACAGCCTTTTGAGATAAGCCAGGCAAAAAAAACAGATACTTTGCGGATTTCACAAATGCAACTCTGTTGTTGTAGGCTGTAGTAATCAAATTTTATTTAAGTGATATTAATTAATCAAATAAATAAACAAATTTATTTTCAAGTTTCTCTCTGGCCCATCTTATTGTAAACAATCCCAAGATTTTTAGTTGTTTTTTAAAATACATCTATTAGACTTATTGTACATCACTCAGAATCTTTTTGGAGTTTGGCTGTTTTAACAAATACAACAAAATCAAGAAGAATTTTTCTTATGCTTGCTTTAATCTCTGGATTGGGTGGTCTTTAAGCCTTTCCTTAATACTGTTAATTCTTTCACACATTCTCCAAGTATATCTCTATTTATTTTATTTTACCGTTTGAGGCATAAGTCTCTGGGACTTTTTTTACACACTATGAAACATTCAGCTGAAAAATCATGCATACGTTCAATGTTGAAAACCAACCACCTGGTGAATACTTCCATTAACTGACTGTCATTTCTTTCAGTTTTAGGAATGTTCACTACTAGTTAAATCACAAATCAACATACTATCGTTTTAAACGTGTAACTGACATTAAATATAATCATCTCTTCCATCTTCCGCTGTTTTTCACAAAATTCAGTACATTGTATAATATTTGCAATCTTTACAGCCTATTGTTCTTTCTATGAAAGTTTCACTTACCTCTGCAACTTTAAGAAATTCGGATACTCTCGTCATCCTAGTAAGAAACCGCTTATAAATTTCAAGGGCATCTTTGCACTGTCCTTTCTTCATTTCAAAAAACTTCTCTGGAAGAGATACATTCGACAATCTCAATCTCTAGTATTCTTCATAAGCAGAACATTTGAAGATTTGACATTTCACTATGAAGAAAAATCTTCATAAGTGATATTATTAAAAAGATGCAGAAAGCAATTGTGGCCAGATTTGTTTTTTGTCCTATTCCACCCACCAAACTTCTATGAACGATCCCAATTTCAAGTTTTATTTTATAGTATTCCCTATTCCTTTTTCTTTCTTTAAATGGAAATTCCAGGAAAATGTGTTTCTACGACAAAATCAATAATGAATTTAAAAAACCTTAGCTAGCTGAGTGTGTTTGCAACCATTTGCTTGGTACAACTTTTTTTTTTCTGATAGGAGCTATTTATTTGGGTGAAAGAACAAAAACATGATGATCTGTGCCAAATAGGAAGTTTGCTTCATTAATATATTGCCAAAAGCGTATGTTAAAGTGCTTATCTAAGCATCACTAAATACAGTGTTTGGACACAGCCATATGTTTGTAATAAAAAACAAGCCTTCAATATTTAAAATAGTAAAATAAGACTTTGGCCTTGAATTTGCTACCTGGATTGCTGAGACTTATTCTTCCACTCTATTATTTTACAATAAGAGCCGTGGTGGCACAGTGGGTAGAATGCAGTACTGCAGGCTACTTCTGCTGCCTGCTGGCTGCTTGCAATTTGGCAGTTCGAGACTCACTGGCTCAAGGTTGACTCAGCCTTCCAAAGTCAGTAAAATGAGGGCCCAGATTGTTGGGGGCCAACATGCTGAATCTGTAAACCTCTTAAAGGGGGCTGTAAAGCACTGTGAAGCGGTATATAAATCTAAGTGCTATTGCTATAATGATGCTGGTTCTTATTGCTTAATGCAAGTTGCCTAACTAAAGTGCTTGAGCATAGAGATGTTCCACGCCTGTGATTAGTTAGTTAGTCAGTCAGATTACAGTGTTTCTGGAAAAGAAAGATTTAATTTTTTGAAAGAATATGACTAAAAATAATTTGGCCACAATCATAGGTCCAGAAAAGAATGACATACCTAATAAATTAATGACTCCATCATTGTAACAAGCAAAAAGCTTGATGAGATCTTTGAACAGAAGCATAAATGCAGCATTTATGACCCCATTTGTCAATTCATTTGGATGAACCTATATAAGAAAAGCCCATGATTCATTATAAACATACAACATTCAGACTAGCTTTTCTTTCAGCACAATGTAAAACATTAGCCAATATATTTATTGTTAAGATTAAGGAGTCTAAACAGAAGTCTAAACAGAAATTATGCTTCTGAAGATACAGTAAATTCAGCAATGCTAAACTACAAGAATGATTAGCTCAAGTTAGGCTGCTGAAACTAATAAAATCTAAGAAATTGAATATTAATGCACATCACATCATTTTGAAGTTTACGCAACATTAATGGCGAAATGATGACACTTGGTTGTGACTTTCAATGAAGCGCAAAAAGGTAATTTAATCTTCAGTCTACAGCTTTTTTTTTCTGCAGCTTGACAAAATGCAATCACTTTCCTTTTACAAGCTAAATGTTTCATGGTTTTTTTACATATTCAAAGTAAGAAGCATTTTTCTATAACCATAAAAGTTTAAGGAAAATATAAGCACATACATCAAATTCAAGAAGTGCATCTATTTGTCCCTGTAATATTGGCATGCTCTTCAGTAGTTTTTCCGGGAGCATTGTCCTCATTACACCATCAGCCCTGAAGAAATAAAAGTAAACCCAATTTATATATCTTATTGTATAACAAATACTTTGAGGCATTCTGTAGCATTTAAAAAATATTCAATTCTGGATGATCATGCTTGTAATACTGTCATCTGAAATTATCATTAATATTGATAGACTACTGGAAATAAAGAAAAAAGAAATATTGTATCTAAATATATATTATTATCATCAACTAGTAATGGTTAATTTTCAATCAATACTGTGTAAATATCATTGTAATGAAACAATATAACATATTAAGGTTTGTCAAAACATAAGGAAAAAAGGGAAAGATTAGTCGAATATATTAATGGCAATTCAAATGCCACAAGAGGAGTTTTAACCTGATTAATAAATCTTCAAAATCTGTGGCCAAGCTCGTGGAATCTGCCAAAAATGGTATCATTTATAGGGAAAGAATGATTAACATTATTCTATGTGATCAGTGTTTGATTTGCTATTTAAAAACTGAGTATGTCCTGTATTTTAGTCCTTTATTCTTTGCATATATGATTTCTGTATTTTTTATATGTTAAAGTAATACTTAAAAAAACATATTGGATATGTAATCTCTGGAGTTTCTAGAGGTATAATCTGCTACTTGGCAACAGACATTTCTCCAACATGAAACACTTTAATGAGTCTCTGTGTTTTGCCTGGGAGTCAGATGCAAAGTACTATTTTTTCCCCTATGGAAGTATTGGTAAGTAGCCACATAAGCCTGGAAATTAGAAAGGGAGAGTCCATCTGACAAGTAAAGAAAGGTTTAAGCTTTTGCTACAGCACATTAAATAAAAACTGGGAAGCTGCAATGATAATTGAAATTGAATAGGTGGTTAAAAAAAACAAGTAATGTTATACCTAATATAAACTCTTGAGATTTTGATGTTGGCATAAACAATGGTTTCAATCAAAAGTCTTTCGCCATTTATTATAGGCCATTAGCACTAGGAAATGTGCAATGTGGCTGTAGAATCTTACGTTAGTTAAAAATAAGTCCTGTGTGAAATATGGCTACAAATCATAAGGGAACAAACCCTTTAGTGATCTATTCCATACACACTCAAATACTTTCTGATTGCATCAGGAACTATGGTGCAATGTTAAATAAACTATGTTTATTCTTATACCTGTATCTTGTAAGCGATTGACAAATCAAATCAAATCAATAAATCAATCAATAAATAAAATGTTCTCTTCAAGAACTGGGTGCAAATCTGGCCTGCAGGAGTGCCTAACAAAGGTCATCTCTTAAAACTAGGCTGATTGTCAGGCTCCCTCAAAGCCAATTTAGCTACAGAAACTGTTTCACTGAGAGTCTTTCCCCAAAGACATGCCCTTAAGTGAGAAAGTCCTATTTGATAAAGATAATGCATACACGATTCCAGTGATGGGATTCAAATATTTTTACTACTAGTTCTGGGGGCTTGGCAGGGGAAGGATAATGTAAAATCTCCAGTCAGAGGTGGTATTTGCTGTTTCTCCAAACTACTCAGAATTTCCGCTACCGGTTCTCCAGAACTGGTCAGAACCTGCTGAATACCACTTCTGCATGATTCCCTCACAAAGCAAAAAAGGCACAATGGATGTCTTTCAGTTTATTGCCACAGTTCTACTATTTCCTGATGGAGGTTCTGATGGCCATAAAACCCAAGGAGCAATTTAGATCAAAAGACTAAAAGTTGAGAGGAACAAGATCCAAGTACTAGAGGAGGAAGAAATCAAAGATGTTACTACTGAAACCATCAGAAGAAAACTAATGGAAAGAGACTGAATTCAATTTTTAAACAGAATATGGCACGAGAGAAGACAGGAATACTAGCAAAATGCTGGGCTCTTTAGACATTCTATTGCAGAGGTGTCAAACTCAAAGCCCATGGGCCGGATCCAGCCCATGGGGTGCTTAGATCTAGTCTGCAGGGCTGCCCTGGAAGGATAGCCTGCCGTGCCTCTGTTCTCCCAAGCTCTATTTTTGGCTGTGACTGCCTCCTGTAACATTCAGCCAGCGAAAATGGACCTCTGTTTTCGCTGGCAGAGTGCTTGGGCCACTACAGGTGCCCCAACATGAGAGACGTTAAGCTAGCCATGCTCCCCTGGCCACACACACACACCCTTTGATGCGGTCCTCAATGAAATCGAGCTTGACACCTGTCTTCTATTGGATAAACACACAATACAACCTATGTTATACTTAACTAATGGCAATACTTGCATGCCAGAATCCTTTTTAACACGTTTTCAGTTTGATTCCTTTTTAATGATTCACACAAATATAATAACAGGAGATTGTTAGAAATAATTATAGCAACATTCAATTTGTTGTATTGAATAGTAGTATAATATATGTCAGATCTATTTACATCATTCAATTTAGGTTCGGTTCGGTTCGGTTCGGTTAGGGTAGGGTAGGGTAGGACCGCACCAGAAATAATTACAGCAACATTCAATTAATTACTTTGCAACAACAATATTGATACTAAATAAGGACAACTTACCCCTTTTTTACTCTTGCAAAATCAAATGCCATTTGTCTGTATGAAAATGCTTTCTCATTCAAATATCTACTGTAGCGCCTGATAAAAGTTGACATATCGTATCCTAGAAAAAGAAACCATAATATGGAGAATTTTGATTTATTAATTTATTACAGTGAGTGAGAAAAAATAATAATGTTAATGATGCAAATCTATTGGGTATTTCAGACATTATTCCAACCACTCCAAAAGTCTAAGTAATAGAAGGCCCACTTATACAGTAATTGCCTAGCTATTGGCATCAAACCAATTATTAGTTATTACCAATGTATTAGTACAGGGGTCGGCAACCTTTTGGACCTCAGGGACCACCAAATTCATAACACTAATATGAATTCAGCATGCTGCTCGCTGAAGCGCCTGGACTCCCACTGACGGTTTGGGATCCTTCGGGCACTTAGCTTGGCTGCCTGTTTCTGCAGCCTTAAATACTCAAAGAGGCATTTGGACCCACTTCCCACAGAAAACAAAACACCAGTTGCGCTGTGGCCCACCAACATTTTTTCACGGACCACCAGTGGTCTGTGGCCCACCAGTTGGTGACCACTGTATTAATATAATATATATAGTTTTTTTACTTATTTCTCAATCAATGAATATTTCCCAAAATCGCTTCTTTAAATACGGGAGGTCACATTAATAAACCCCAAAAGAACAGAAGGGAGTATCTCGTACATTTCAAGATATGCTTAGTTTTGAATAACAGGCAACACTTGTTACAGTAATCACTGGTACACACATTCTGATCTAAAAATTGTTAAACTAGAAAACTGTTGGATCAATGTGTATTGGATGCTGATAAAATAGGACAAGCTGCACTATATGATTGATAGGGCTATGATGAAAGAGTAAGAAGACAATTCCCCTATAAATATCCTTGCAAAGTGTTCATGGAGTTTTGCTGCAAAGAAAGGTTTACATACAGTATAGCAGAATTATGCAATCTTTACATTGCCAGAATTTAATTCATAGAATCCTGTATGAAGTTATTTGTTGACAGCCTTGGGGACAGAGTACACTATTAAAACAACTTTTCATCTTAGAAGGTTTTCCCCCTTTTCATTTTTTTCTTTGCACTGTCTCTTTTCCAATTAACCTGACTGTGGTATATTTAAACTTTTCTGTATTAAGAGAACAAGGCACCTACATTCCTCCTAAGATACTCACATCAACAAACCTCAAGTGACAGCCTGCCAAACCATATTTCAGAGGAATTAACAGATGTAAGGCTGCCTACAGATTTTTTTTTTTAACAAAACATGTTTACCAGGAATTGGAAACTTACACTAAACTGACTAGGTCTGACATCATAGCAAAGAATCAGTATAACAATCCTTTGCAGAGTGTTGAGCCTGGTATAAGTTCTTTGTTCCTTATTAAACAAAAATGGCCATTCATTATTAAGCATTCAACTTTATCTTTTATTTTTATCCTCATTTGATATAGAGAACCATATCTGGAACAAACACATAAACACATACAAATACATTTACTTACATTAATGACACAATATTCATTATATTAAAGCCTTTTTTCCAGAATATAAGTTTTTTATTACCTTCACACTGAGGACTAATTTTCATTTGTTTTCTTAAGAAAAATACTTTAAAAAAAGTGGAATTGTTTCATTTTAACTGTGACTTAAAGTAACAATGAGGTAGCATCTCAAAGTGCTTAGAAAGGCTATTTTGGTGTGTTTAGAAAAGTACACAGAAATGCAGATTAAGAACAAAGATAAATTTAACCTTTACTGTATAAGTTTATGATAAATATTTGCTTTAATCCAAATATGTAAACCTAAAACTATAAAAAAAAACGTTACGTTTCTGCTCATGTTATTTTCAGTAAATAAAATACCACACTAAACTTGATAAAGTGAATTGCTTTTCTTACCGTGTGATCCACTTTTGTCCAAAAAATTGCTGAGATTGAATAGTGTGTTTCTAGATGCCAAATACTGAATAAATCTCTAAGAGGAAGAAAAACAGAATAAAATGAATTATCTCTCTTTTCCTTTTTCATGACAGATCTCTAAACATATTTCATTTCTGCTGTAAAAAAAAACCCACAAAAATTTCATTACATAATTAGTATCTAATTTGTATATATCTCTAGTTATATAAGCTTATATACAATTATCTAGACACAGGTGGTAAGTTCAAAAATCTGAATATGCACTGAATCCTCCCATATTAAAAAAAAGTTAAACCATTCATGTTGTATTAGACATACCAATGTTAGAAGTGAATTATTTGAACATATCACAAGTTTTAATCTAAAAATTAACAGACAACTGCATTTTACATACAGTCAGTAAGTACCTCTGATCATATTTAAAATGCAATTAACATATTGCTTCTTTGAACAAAATTGACACAACAAGATTACTGCTAACATATACTAAACAACCATGTCTCATTGGGTCATCCTTTCAAAGTTATTTCCTTTCCTAAATAGAAAAACAGAATGGTCAACAGTAGGCAAAAAAGTAGTGGAAGCAAGAGTGATTTCTGACTTCCTGCCGGCTTTCCCACTGACTTTCCTCGTGGAAATTTGGCAGGGAGCACCAGAAATCTCCTTCCCTTCCCTTCCCTGCAGGCAGTAAAGGAAGCAGGTTGGGTGAGGGAGGGAAGGAGGGACTGTGAGACTAGTTAAGAAACTGTCATGCAACACTGGAAATAAAGATCAGGTTGAAGGATGCAGCAGCAGCCACCAGCACTGAAACAGCGATAACTTTCCAACTTTCATTACCTTGGGAGTCATTGAGCCACAAATTTTGGACAGATACTATAAATTAGTTCATTAGAGGTGCCTTGATTCAAAAATGCTTTCCCTAAGATGCACCATTTCTCCCACTTAAGACTACAACCTACTTCTTGGTAAACTAAAAAAATGCAGGATAGACAGCATCCCCACCAGATGGAGTCATAACTGGCTGATGAACTACACTCAGCATCTAATCCCGAATGGAACTACATCTATATGGAGGGAAACAAGCAGTGGGGTACCTCAAGGTGCCATTTTAGCCCCAGTACTCTTCAATATCTTTGTATTCTGAAAATTTTAGTGGTATATAGATTATATTAAGGAAAGCATTGTTTTCCATTTGAATTCCAATTCAGGAAACCGTAAGATCACATTTTACTATTAGGGTACAAGAAATTATTCTGCATAAAAATAAAATAACAGTCCATAGTCTGAGTAAAAGAATAGAGACCCCACTCTGTTTATATGCTAGGTTTCTAGAAGAGCAAATAACGTGACCAATGTAGAGAAATACTAGTTCACATAAAACTAAGTTCTCACTCTCCTCCAGTTTTAGATAAAGGAATTGTTTTCTTTTCTAGGCAAAAACTTATTGTGTATGGGGTATCAGCAGATATTTATTGAAACTGATAAGAGAGACTCTGTAAAAAAACAACTTTAAAGATAAGATTTGAAGCAAATACTTCACCATGCATTCAAAGTAAAAAAAAAAATACAAAATGAGGTCTCAGTTCATAAATACACACATATAGTATAAGAAAATAAAAAAAGGTTGCCTCTTTTTAAAAATTATGAAAATATGTGTAGATCAAAGCACTTTTCTTTGTATATCAGAGAAGTACAGAGATCTTATTTTTACATAATAACATTAAATTCTTTCAGCGGATTCTAACATTGCATGACCAAAGGCCTAACTGCCTAATGCAGTTACCTACCTAAATCCTGAATTTCCATATTCTCTAAGATTTATTTCAAATGATCCCCAATCTCCAGAGCATATATATCTATTAGATGCATGAAATGCTGGGGTAGAATTATCTCCTTCAGTAAGCAGAGTGGATCATTTATCCTCTGAAACATTCACAGAGAAAACCCCACATAAACTAAATATTTTATACTGCCTTAACAGCATATCAGATAAGCTCACTACTTGCTATAACTTTTTCTTTTTTTAGAGTTTATGAGACAAACACAGGCTTTCTTAACAATCCCTTGCTTTAGCTTTGAGGACTAAAAAGCTTACCTCATTGCCATGAACCATTAGATGATGTGTTGTAACTAAGGCTTTGAAGACAACAACCCAACTAGTGTTTGTCGCTCTTTCAAAGAGGGTATCAGCCATTTGTGGAATGTTGACATTTGTCTCATTTGTGGCCTGGATTAGGTCTACAATATTTGGAGAAGAATAGTAACAGTAAATATAGAGAGAAGATGATGTACTGGTTAAAGAGAATATAGTTACAAATTACTGACCAAAATCATTACATGATACAGTAGTAATTTCGCTAAAAAATAAGTTTAAGGTTAAAAAAAAGCCATTCGGTGTATAATACTTAGAAAAACCAATGTAAGATAAAATGGAAAACAGTTCCTTATTGGATGGTCTAACATTATTGCTATTGCCAAAGTTTATTTTGTGAGAGTTTGTTTTTGCAGTGAACGAATAACAAGGGAGAAGAAACAGTAAAAAAACAGATAAAAAAATATGCGGCCCAAGTCCATTATAATTAAAAATTATAGCCATATTTGTGTATATATATAAATGCTTTGCTGTTTTAGTCTTTTTTAAAAAAGTTTTTATTGATTTTTAAAAACAAATATAAACAAACAAAACATAAAAACATCAAACCATCTTCCATATGTATACATACAGTGTGCCGGTTGGTTTACAAATTGTTTTGTGCTTCCATTTCGTAGTCTTCAATTACAATTACATTGCATATAATCTTGTATTTTCAATCAAAAATTAAATACCTTAGTATCATTATTAATCAATCATTTGACTATACTTTTATTCATTCATGTTTTACAAGATAATCATAATTTACTTAGTTTGTTTTATAACAGTTCATATTATCATCCCAAATCTATCCTAAAATCATTTTGTAGATATAATAAGAAAGAAGTAAATCTTTATATATTTATTATTTTCTAAAAGTCTACATGCTTCATTGCTGTATTTTATTGCCTAACCATTGATAGAATAGATCCCAAATTTTATAAAATTGTTTATCCTCTTGTTCTCTAATTTCAAATGTCAATCTACTCATTTCAGCACATTCCAATATTTTCTTAATGATTTCCTCCTGTGATGGTGTTTTCTCATTTTTCCAGTTTTTGCCAAATACAATCCTAGTCGCTGTTAGTACATTTACAATCAGATATTTCAATTCTTTACTATATATTTCAGGTAAAATCCCCATTAAAAATATCTCTGGTTTCAAGTCTATATGTTTTTTTGTCATTTTTTCCAACCACGTGGATTTTAGTCCAGTATTTTTTAGCATCCTCACAAGTCCACCACAAATGATAATATGAGCCAGGTGTCTGATGACATTTCCAACATTTTTCGGATTTATTCTTGAACATTCTTGCTATTCTTGTCAGGGGAAAATGCCACCTGTAAAACATCTTATACAAATTTTCTTTATATGCTGTTGACATTGTCATTTTATAATTTTGAGATCACAATTTTTGCCATTTCTCTAAATTGATCCCATATCCAAAATTCTTCCCCCAAGCAATCGTGGTTTCTTTAACTTGTTCTTCTTCTAATTTAATTTCTAATAAATATCCATACAATTTTTTAATCACCTTTTCATCAGTACCTGTCAAAATCTTATCTAAATCAGTCAACTTATCATAGAAACCTTCCATTTTAGAATCTTTATCATACCTTGAATGTATTTGTGCATATGAAAACCAATTCATCTTTATAACTTGTTCCTCTAGTTTTTGTATAGATTTGAGTTTCATTCAATATTTCACCATATCTAACTGTTTGTTCCTTTTTGTATATTATAGGATAAGAAAATGCTTCAATTGTCGATAGCCAGACTGGAATTTTCAAATAACATTGTCTTTTAATGTTCTCCTAGTTTAATCACAGAGACTCCTGTATATAATGTCTTCTAAAATACTCCTGTATGTTAGTTCCTTTATACCATAAAAAAGCATGCCACCCCAACAACAAATCATGTCTAATAGTATTTCTTAGTGTTATCCATTCCTTAACCCACATCAGATTTGTAGCTTGATAATACAACTCCCAATTAGGCAAACCAAATCCTCCTCTAATTCTAGCATCTTGCAAAAGTTTTAACTTTATTCTCGCTTTCTTACCTTGCCATATATATTTCAACACAATTTTATTTAAGTCTTCAAAGTAATCTTTTCCAAGCCTAATTGGAATTGTTTGAAGCAAATATAAAATTCTAGGTAATATATTCATCTTGATTGTTGAAATTCTCCCTATTAGTGACAGTTGTAAATTTTCCCACTTTGCCAGATCTAGTGCTATCTGCTGTTTAAGTTTGATATAATTATTCTCTTTTAATGTACTACATCTTGCTGTCAAATATATCCCCAAGTACTTGATCTTATTCGTGACTTGAATTTTCAATAGGTCTGCCAGTTTTTCCTTTTGTCTTAATAGCATATTCTTTGTCAAGATCTTTGTCTTGTCTTTATTTATTTTCAAACCAGCCACCTTTCCATATGTCTCTATCTTTTCTATCAATTTTGATGCTGTTTCTAAAAGGTCTTCTAAGATGAAAATCAGATCATCTGCAAAAGCTTGCAGCTTAAATTCTTCCTTTTTGATTTTCATTCCTTTTATATTCTTTTCATCTCTAATATTTCTGTTTAGCACTTCCAAAGTTAACACAAACAACAAAGGTGATAGTGGGCACCCTTATCTTGTTCCTTTTCTTATATTGATAGAGTCTGTCAGTTCTCCCTCTATCATTACCTTTGCCGTTTGCTTATACTATATAGCTTCTATTGCTTGAATAAATTTTCTAGCAAAACCCATCTGTAATAACATGAATCGCCAATTCACATTATCAAATGCCTTCTGTGCATCTAGAAATATCAGAGCCATTTATTTTTCAGGATGTGCCACGTAGTATTCCAAGGTGTCCAAGATTACTCTCATATTGTCTTTAATTTGTCTCTTTGGCAGAAATCCATTTTGATCAGGATGAATAAAATTATTTACATATTTTTTAAGTCTTTCTGCCAATATTGAAGCAAAAATTTTATAATCTGCATTTAGTAGAGAAATGGGTCTATAGTTCTTAATTTGTAATGGATCGGCCTCCTCTTTTGGAATAAGTGTAATATAGGCTTCTGACCATGATTTAGGTATCTTCTTCTTTAACATAACTTCATTCATAACTTCTAGCAATGGAAGATTCAACGATTCTTGTAATGTTTTGTAAAATTCTGCCTGGTGCATTTCCATTATTTTGCTTTTTGAGTGCTTCAGTTAACTCCATCATCGTTATATTGTTTTCTAACATTGTTTCAGTCTCTTTAGGTATCTTGAGGTAAGTTTTGTCCTTTTTCTTCCTCCACGTTTTGGAATCGAAGATAGAATTCTGATCTATCCATCTCCCATCTCAACATACCACTTTTATCTTGTTCAACTATCGTTAATCTATTATCAATATCTCCAATCTTCTTGTCTCTTTGTTTATCTTCTTCTTCTTCATTTTTTTGGAATCTCTCATCATACTTCAACATCATTTATTGGATGTTCTCCACTTTTTCATCAGTTTTCCCTGTTCTTTGTTCAATGTTCTCTGTTCTTTGTTCAATGTTCTCTATTCTCTTTTTAATATTCTCTGATCTTGCTTGAATATTTTGAATTCATTGCATAATCATCTGCAGAGTCACTTTTTCTTGTTCTTTTTCTTGCTTTAACATTGTCTGTATTGAACATTGTCCTCCAGATGGTGGAGAGGAAGAAGTAGAAGTTGAAGAACCAGGAGCTGTAAATTTCCTACTCATTTTAAGCAATTCAAAATCTTCAGGTTCTTCTAAACCTTAATCCAATTGTGAAGTAACCAGAATAAAAATAGTAGAAAAAAGAAGCCCAATAATAATGATAAAAAAAGAAAAGAAAAAAAGGAGGACAAAATTTCTTCAGGTTCTTGTATACCTTAATCCAATCAGTAGTTAGATGAAGAAAAGGGTTTGAAAAAAGAAAAAAGAAAAAAAAAGGAAAAGGAAAAATTCTTCAGGTTCTCCAACACCTTAATCCAATTGAAAGGTCTCAAATAGAAAAGAGTGCATAAGAATAAACCAGAAAGGTAGATGAAAAAACAAAAATACCAGGAAAGGGAAAAAAAGACTATTCCCTTAAAAAAAAACACATTAATACTAAAGCTTTCCCTTTAAAATAAAAAGCAAACATAGAGATTGTACTTCCAAAGAAAAAAAGAAAAACAAAGACAAGCTCCAACAAAGCCAAAAACCCAAATTTTTCTTTTTACAAGAAAAAAAAAGATAAAATGAAATTCAATAAAGCTGGTGAGGAGGGATAGCACAACTTCGAAAAAGTAAAAAGAGCACACTGCACTTCGTTTAATTATCCAAGGCTCTTATTATAGCTCTCTTCTCCAAAAACGTATCACCTTTTTTCCCCCTAGATTTCAACACCAGACTCCAGCTGCTAATAGAAACCCAGAAGAGCACCTATAATAATACTCTCCCATGCTCTTCCCTCTACCTTATCAAATAGCAATGTCCTTGAAAAAGAGTCTCAGTTCTTTCTTTCTCAGCTTTGTCTGGTCACAGGGAAATAGAATATTTTCAAGCCTCTAGTTGGCAGTGTTACAAAGTTTCTTTGCTTTCACTTTCCCCCTCCTTTTGCAAGCAAGATATAATAAGAATTAATAAAAAAAAAGAAAAATATATTTTTTTAAAAAAGAAATAACTAAAAGGGAGCCTCTAGCCGAAAATATTACAAAATCAAAAAGGAGAAAAAGAAATAGATGTAAAAGAAAAAACCAGTCCAGTTTCAAAATATAAGATCATGTATAGAAAATCCAGCAATGAGAAAAAAAAAACCCATTACTTTGACATTCCTGTTTAAAATCGCCACTTAATCACTTCTGTCAAAACTTTTACAGATTCTTTCTTTTCCTTAGGGTGTCCTTTCAAATCTTAGAATAAAGAAAAAATTCTCACCAAACCGGCACACTTTCTCTTTCCATTCTCTTTTTTTTTGGAACAGTCCTAACTTCAGCAGCTTTAATGGCTGCGTCTTTGCCGCTGGCAAGAAGAGCTTCTCCTGGATCTACCAGGGACTTTGCGGTATCCCTGGGATTGACAGGATGCACTCTTCACTTTCACTCATCTCTTCGGGATGGTTT